GGGACGCGCGCCCGCAGCCCCCGGCTCCTCGCAGCCGCATAGCCCGGCCCTCAGCCGGAGTAGCCGGCGAGGGATGCAGGAATGCGGGGATGCGCGGGGAGGGGAGAGAAGGGGAGGAGGGGAACCGGGTGCCCGGGGCAGAGCTTGTAATACTTCGCCCCGCGGCATCATGGGGCTTGTAGTTCGCCCTGTAGAACCGAGGGTGGCGAGGGACCCGAGAGGGGTCTCGCAGCGTGTTCGCCTGCTTCACTGAGAGAGTGGGCAGGCAGCCAGGCATGACCAAAAACGAAGTAGTGCCCTGACGCCATATGGGTTGGGGCGCACCCCCAACTGCTGGCATTTTGCCCTTTGCAGGGGAGGGAGGGGTCTTCAGGCCTCGCTGGGGGAGGTGTGGCCTTCAGAATTGAGTTTAGGTTCCTGGGCCCTCGAGGAAGGTTACGAATTCCCAGAAAAGAGCGACGAGAATCCCTGAGAAAGGTGCAGGGCATAAGTAACAAGGATCACTGGAGCAGCCAGGGGTCTGCACCTAAAATAGTTTTAGAATCTTCCTTGCCTTCTTAGAAATTAAGTCCATCTGCCACACATGATGTTGGAAAGAGGATGTCCAGTAAGGTAAGGAGAATAGCCTATTCTCCTGTACTCTTATATACACTGTGCTCACTTAGAACCAGAGTGAGGATGGACAGAGAAAGCAGCAGGTGTCAACTCTCCACTTTCACCTCTTGTGGCATCTCAGAAAGGAAAGTGATTCAGACTGCCTTCTTCCTGTATGACCTGGGGCCCAGAAGTTCTTCCAGAAAGGCCCCCAGCTGAGGATGGAATTGGCCTCAGGGGCGGCCATTTGCAAGGGCTAGAAGGACTGAGAGGCTTGACCTATTCCCTGGAAGGGAGGGACCTCGATGGCAGAGATACCTGAGTTCAAAAACCTCACTTTGAACTCCCTGACCTTAAGAAAACCGCTTTCTGAGTTTCTCAGTCCAACCACCCCTGGACTGGATACTACCTTCAGGGATCAGCTAAGGATAGTAATTTCTCTGGAAACGGCGCCTTCCTTCTCCAACCAAACGGACTGAGACAGGTGGGAACCAGACACTGTCTTCCTGAGTACCCCTTAAAACAAGGCAAGAAGAAGGGATTCCACACCAGCCTAGTTAGAACAACAATCCAAGAAGTGTTTGTGTGGGAGGTGCCAGAAAAAGCCTGTGCGCGCCCGCGCGCGCGCGCGCACACACACACACACACACGCACACACCACTCTCTCAGGTTTCTTTGTGTGGGCTCCGGTGCCTCCTTCACACCCCGCCGTGCCAGGCCCCGGGCGAGAAAGGATGAGGGAGGAGTGGACTGCCTCGCCTCTTTCTCCAGCCTGGGAGAAGCCGCCTGCCTATGTCCACCACGAGAGGTCAGCAGAGAGTCGTGGCGGCTGCCCGAGTTGGGGAGGGGGCTAAAAAACGGGAGGGGCGTCTAGGAGTGGCCAGGAGAAAGCCTGTACACTTCCTCATTAAATTGTTTTTAGAACCTTGTTTGTGATTCCTAGGGTAGTGACATCTGCACTGGGAAATCCAGAAACCCTTGTATCCCCAGCTTCAAGCCCAGAAGCTTGGCTGTGACGAAACTGGGGGTTGAACAAAATTTGGACGGTGTGTCCGTGCCAGGGCCACTCCCAGGTAGTCCCGCAGCCCACCAGTAGGTGGGGAATGGGGTGGGGAGCTGGGTGAATCATCCTTCCACTGCACAACCCAGGAGCCCAAGGAGCGGGGAGCTCAGCTAGACTGAGGGGAGCTGTCCTCTAGGCAACTGTGTTGTCTTTGCCAGACAGCCTTAGAGTGTAAGCCCAGGTCGCTTTCCTTCTGGTCTGATCGCTGCGGCTGCCACGTGCTTCAGACGCGCCCACACAGCGGAGAAACAAAGACAGCCAAGCTGCAGGGCTGCCAGCAGACGCCTCGACATTTAATAAATGAAATTCCATAGCTGGGGGTCGATGGGGGGGGTAAACCGGCGGCCACCGCTACTGGGCTGTACGAAGGGTAAAGGTTACCAGGTCACTCCTCCGTCCTGGAGGCTGAGACCACAAAGTCCTCAGACCCCCATAGTGCAAGTGCTGGACGGGGCGGCAAGAGGTGCTTCTCCCCCATCCCCAAATACACCCTCGAGGTAGCTTTGCTTACAGAAGCCCCGCCAGTTGAGCGACAGGCTGTGGGGGAGGGGAAGCCTGCAAGATTTTTTTTTTAAAGGTGCGATTATAAATATATCCCGTGGATCGCGATTTCAAACAAACTTGTCAATCTAGGCTGCAGGGAAGGGCGATGGAGGCAGCCTTGCATATATTTTGGGTGGTGTGACTCATGAACATTACTTGTCTCCCCTAGAGAAAAAGCCTGCCCACCCACAAGTTACTGCGGCTCAGGCACCGCTGGGATAAATCGACCATTTGGTCTCCCCTGCCCTGTTACTGAGCAAAAGTCCCTTATGCCTGGGGAACCCTTCATTGTGTCACCATTGAACTGGCTCTCAGGCCTGGTCCAGGGCTTGTGCCCTCCCCACAAGCAAAGTACACCCAACTGGCCCTTTGCTGCTGCAGGGATGGAGGATCAGTGCAGGGGTGCACTCACGTGTGGCCTGCCCACATACCCCCCCCACCATGTTCCTCTCCTCCCTCGGGGTGTGAAGTCCAGGAAGAAAGGCCTTCAGAAGAAATAGCCCCCGTGTATTGTGTGCGCACGCTTTGTACACAGATCCCTCGGGTGCCCCAGAAATACAGTACGTGTATACAAGCAGGTGACAAGTGGCTATTATTGCAAATAGGCACAGTGGTCATTCCTCGGGAGGTCTTAAAACCGTCCATATTCTTTCCTCTCTGGATGCAGGCAAGGATGTATTTTTAGTCCAGAGGTAGGGGGAAACACTGCATGACCTCTAGCATCTGGGCGTCCATTTGGCTGGCAATGTACATACTTAGCAAGGGTGTGGCCACATCCCACTTGGACACAGCTATGGACACCGATATGGACACTTGGGTAACCAGGAGGAACACCTCACCCCAGCCAAAGCTTCTTTGCTAGGGAAGATGTTTGGGCCTCCAGCTCCTTCCTCTCTTCCCTAACTCCAAAACCAACGGGCTCACCAACCCTGGGCTGAGCACCTCCCGGGTTACCCTCCAGATCTAAAGTGAAAGGGAGGGGGCTTTGAGTTTGACCCACATTGGTGAGGCGAGCACCTGAGCTGTGGCCAGGGACGCAGGCACAACTGCCTGTCGGCCAGAAGGAGGCCGCGGTCCCTTTAAGAGCCCCCGCCCCTTCCCGCCCGC